TTGCTATTAGGGAGGAAGGGAAAGAACAAGCTGGGATTGTGGGATACACAGAGATATGTGTTGGAAGGACAGACGTGGTACCTGAGCTGCACACAATTACCTGAACTGAGACTAAACAATTTCACAGCTCTTTTGCTGTGTCAGCAGGTTTTAGGCTGTTCAAACACAAGGCCTAAAGTGAAGGGGATAAAACATTATTTCTACTGCAACATGATGAATGATTGCTTATAGAATAATGCTGAGCGCATCTTTCTTCACAGTCTTTCCTCCCTTAAAAAAGAAAAAAGAAAAAAAAAGAAAGAAAGAAAAGGAAAAAAGAAACCTCTGCATTACAGTAGAGATTTTTAAATTAAGTGTTTAAATGCATGAAGGAACAGAATGACAGCAGGGATGAGAAACTAGGTATATAGCCTCAATACCAGTTGGTCCCTACTAGGTTTGGCTGAACATTGTTGTTAAAATTAGCTGATTGCCATCTGGAAAGTGGGCAGTAGACCATGTCACAAAAATCACTACCTTTAGTTTCACTGACTCTGCCAAGTGCCTACAGGGAGCTCAAGGCTCAAGTAAGCATTTTGCTTATATTTGCTCCAACAACATCCTGGAATTGGGAATATTAGATTGTGAATGCATTTGATCTTTTTCTTTTTTTTTTTTTTTTTTTCTCCTATGTGTGTAGTCTTGTAGGACAATGAAAAACTTTGGCCAGACCTGGTAGGCCAGCTGTTGACAAAAAAAGAATAATGTTATTTAAAGGTATAGTCATTTGGTTCTCAGGATGTTACTTCCAGAAAGGTGAATATTCAGTTCAAATCAGGAAGTTTACTGTCTTTCAGAAGTAATCTTTTTACCTTTTAGGCTCATATAATGCATTCTGGCAATTCAGTGACTTATTTTCTTGAATGATACATCCAATCCAATGAAATTGAATAAATGTTGATGATCAAGTGCAGTGATATAAAATTTGCTTTTCCCAGAGCCAGATGGGATACCTATGCCAGTGTTTCTGCTTGGCTCAGAATCTCTGAAGACTCCTTTCTACTTTCCTAGGTTATCAGTCATGAGCAGGTAGCTGGAATTTAGGCTGCATGAATGTGGATGTATTTTCCTTCATGCTGTCCACATTCAGTCTGATTGTTGTATGACAGTTTGAGAACCTCCATAAAACAAAAAACAAAAAAACCCCATGGCTGTAGATGAGCATTCACATGTACAGCCTAGAAGCTTCTGCTGATACACGTAGAAGAGCTGCTTTTTCTTGTCTAGCTTTCACCTGTTGTGAACTTAGATATCTGATTTCAGGAAATACTTAAAAGTCTTCTAGTGTTCTCAGTTGTGGCCAAGACAAGGGAGGTAGCTGTCTGCCCTGCTATGTCTGTAATATCTCCTTTTGTGCTATTGGTATCAGAGGGTGGATGTCAGAAAAATCATTGGGTGTCTTGTCTTCTTTCATTCCTGCTCTCCTCCATATGTTGCTCTGCAGGTCAGAAACACAAATCTTTTAAGGATCTGTAGGGTAACTGTTCTACCAGAAGAGAATCTCCAAAAGACTGCAAAGCTATACTCTGGTACAGCTTATAGTCACATAGATGTGGCAGTAGATGCTACAACGATAGTGTATTTATCTATATATAGCTGAGAGCTCTGGCACATGGGCTGCTTAACAAGGATGGAGTTACATCTATTGAAGGCACTGTCCAGGACAGTGGATATTTCAAGAACTTTTTGCTCACCTTGCATTCAGCAGAATTGAGTCTGATATCATTTGATATAGTGCAATTTAGAAGGAAATCCACTGTATTTAGTGCCATTTCTGTGTCCACATGAAGTTATGAGTGGGCCCTTCCACCAGGAGCAAATGACTTCCTTTTGGATCTGCTGATCCACGCTTCTTTTCAGTTGAGCATTTTGGCACAACCTGATAGAAGTCTTTCCCCCCATAACATATTACTTGCTCTTTACTGTGACTTTCCTCCTTAGCATTCTTTTCTCTTTCACACTAGCATGCTTTAAAATTGAAATGGATGGGATGTTTTCTACAAGACTATTTTTGTTAAGTACCAGATGAATGTAGTTGAACTCAATTAAGTGACTTCCGTAGAAACTCAGTGGAGTGGAGCACAAGCACAGCCATGTGTAAGTACAAGCAGTTCAAAAGAAACTACTTATCTTTATCTAGCCTAAAACTATCTGAACCTCTAAAAAAAAGGATGTGGGAAAACATTTTACCAAAGGTAAGAAGTTTTTGGTTCTTCTGTTTCCTTGTTTTGTTGTTGTGTTTGTTTTTGTCTGTGTTACTTGGTTCTTGTTTATTACCTCCAGAGAATTAAAGTAGTTTTGGTAGCTATCAGTTAAAGCAAACTTCCCAATTTTAAAATAAAAAACAGTGCAAAATACTGGGAGACTCAAATTTGCTCAGCTGAAAAGGAATTAGAGTGAAATGAGCTGTGCAGAAAAAGACCTCAGAGATATTTTAGGACCCTTAGGTCATGAGTTAGGTCATGAGCTCCTTAGCATTTGCTGTGGCATCTGAATAGACCCTTGGATTACAGATCAGGGCAGGTGCAGAGGGCCGTACTATAAATACTTTTACCCTTAAGGAGTTCACAGATTTCATAGAGTTGCCTTGTTGAATGACAAACTGAACAGAAACACATTAGTTCTGAAGAGGAAGAGTATCAAAAGGATTTTAGAAGAATTCAGAGATTTATTTTCCAACAGATCATCTCCCGCTTCTTTAATTTCCAAAGCCGAAGGGCTCTTCACAGTTACCTTAGAAATACTGTGGATAGCCTTTAGAAGGTTACAGCATGCATTTCTCAAGTGTGAGTGGCATGTTCAGGGGTATTTCTGTACTCCTTTGCTGCCCACTGGGAGCTGCAGAGAACTGACCAGCAGGATTCCTCCCTTCTATTTTAAGCCTTTCTGTTGCCTCATGGCTAAGTATATATGACCAGTTTCTTCAAGGGAAGTTTTGCCATTTCTACACTTGTAGAAATACTGTCCCTCAGCTCCCTTTGTGCAAAGTTCTTAATCCTTACAGGATTAAATATACTACTTGTGGTAGTAAAACCTACTTAATGATTCAGTACCTATTTTTTAATTTATTTTCCAGGTAAATACAGATGTTTCCTTTTTTCCATTTTTTACTGATAAGCCACAGTCCTCTTTCTCCCTTCATCCAAAATAAACCTTCCATTTTTAGAAAGGCTGCAAAGGGCTCGGAAACTTTTTCAAAATGTTTGTACTTTATTTACATTTGTCTCCCTCTGGGGGAACACTCCACTGACACGTGTAGTCTTATGGGTTCATTCTGACTGACCTAATTCGAATCCTTCATCATCTTTTAAGAGGCATGTTTTCACAGAACTGGAAGAACCAGTTGCAGCATGAAGTTAGGTGTCACTTCCTGCATATTCCAAAAAAAAAAAAAAAAAGAGGCAACTCCAATTTTTTAGAAAGAGTCTGTTTGAAGGATTTTTTCCAAGCGAGTCCACCTGCCCTTCCATATGCCATCAGCATCTCTGTTGAGAAATGCTTTCAGCTGGTCCAGCTGTGAACAGAAAAGCAGATTCTTCTCAAGACAAATTCTGCCTGTGTCAAGAGATCTATGGCATGGCAGGAACATCGTGATAGAAGCAGATTCTGGCCTCATCCTGGAAAACAAAATATTGTTGGGAAGCCTGAAGTGCCACACCACTTACTTACATATAGTGTATGTATATGGATGTATGCTTATATGGCTCATGTATATGTTTTGCCAGTTCTCTGTGTTGGCTGCCTTGGTGTTCTGAAGAGCCTGATTTAAATAACAGAACTCAAAACCAGTGTAGGAGGTGCAGAACTGAGTAAAACTGCTGCTGGGGTGTTTGTGCACCATTTGTCAATGAGATGAGCCAGCTCCTGCAGTGTTGGGGCGGCCATGGGGGAAGTCATGTTTTGTCAGAGACGAGAGGTTCGTGCTGCCTTCTTTTTTCAGTATACAAGATTAATTTGTATACAGTCTTTCTTCACGTCCCAATTAAAAAGGGAGTGACTATACAAGCTACTTGATTTCCAAACCTATCTTTTTTTGCCAGCTGGAAATTTCCAAGCAATTCAAATTGTTAATTAAGGTAAAGCAGGCATGCTTACATATGTCTGTACTTTTTGTATTCTCTACCACAGAAAAACAACAACAAAAACATCAGCCAGTTTAGCCCTGTGGATGCAGAGTTGTCTTTGACTTAAACCAAGCTTATTTTTGGACATTTTCATGCATATGGGGCCTCAGGATTTAGTTTTACTGTTGTGGTGGTAGCGGCATCTTCCAGGCCATATCATTTTCTTTTTCTATCACTTTCCTCTTCCCCATATGATTCTTTCTCATGTATCCCAGAGGTTCCCATGTCATCATTAACATTCTTGTAGAAAAATGGCTCTGCACAGGAATTCTTTAAGAGCCTATCAGCACCACTCCCAAATGAGCCAGACAGGACATTGTTTGTTTAATTTCACAACATGTGCTTACCCAAAGGCAAAGGGCTGCCTCCCTGGATTCCCAGCCACAGTACGCTTCTAAAGGAATTTTTTGTGGCAGTGGAGTTAAGTTCTCCTAAACTCCGGACAAAACATTGATGTATTTAACAATACAATCAAGTTGTTGAACAGTATGTAACTAAATGCCTTTTAAATATTCAAAGCACTTTAAAAGGCCCTTGTGTTGTAACTGGCCATACAGTAAAAGCAAGATAAGCGACAAGAGCAAAAAAATGCTTAAGAATTTGCTGCAAATAAGTCTGCGGGCTTTGTCAGTACTTTGGCATTTTTACCCTTACATTTTCTCTTTACATTTACAGCCTGTGCACTGCTGTTTGTATTTAGGCAGGTTTAACCAGTATTATTTTTTTAAAACCAATAAGGATTAATGAATAAGGATTGTGCGGAAAAGTGGGAAAGATCTTTCTCCAGAAAGATCTTACTTGCTATTTTTATGTCCTTACTGTTACTTTACTATCACTCCGAGGAGTCTGTTTTTTAAGGGAAAACAGTAAGAAACCATCTTAGGGATGGGAATGGGAAAGCTTCTCCTCTGCCAGCAGCATTAACAACACACACATCCTGGAGACTGGCTGTAAGCTCGTGTGAACGCTGCGTGGGTCAGGGCTGCAGCCACACTCAGGCCGCTCTCAGGGGCAGAGGAAGATGACCTCCGCTCAGAACCCAAGGGGCTTTGCTATCTGGTCGCACGGTGCCGGAGCTCTGGGCTGTAACCCTCTGGGCTGTGCAGGAGCCGCCCCACGGCCTGCTTTGCCGACCGCTGCCCCTATTTACCCTGCAAGTCCAGCAAGCCACAAGCCCTCCTGCCGCGGTGACATCGGCTCAGCAGAGCCGGTGACGGCACCAGGGAGGAATTTTCTGGTGCAAGTTGTGAGCTCAGACAAAGAGGCTGCTTAATTTTCTCTTTGTGCAACCAAATCCTCGGGGCTCGTGCACGTCCGTGCGCTTCCTGCGCTGTGCAAAGGAGCGTGCGTGGTGCTGGCGGAGCGTGTTGCATCTTGCTCGGCGTGCTGAGACGACAGACATCTGCCACAAGCGAAAATCGGTTTCTACTTAATTACGTGGTTTGTTAATTGTTCTCCAGATTGCTCGTCTTTCTTCGCTGCCTCAGTTTCTCGCTGGCGTCGCAGGCGGAGGGTGCGAGGCACGGCAGCAGCCGGTCCGTGTGCCGGCTTTCCCCGGGCTCCGCACCTCGCGGCTCCGGGGGCAGCTGAGCCCCCGCTCCCCTCCCTTTAACAACGACTGCGGTCCGGCAGAGGAGCGTGGTCGGCCCGGGAAGCGCTTGCGGCCGCAGAGAGCCGTGCCTGTGTCCCAGGCTGGCATTACAGCGGCGGTCCTGGTGCCCGGGCTGCCGGCAGCTCTCCGCACACCGGGCTGTCCTCCCGTGCCCCGGGGCGCGGTGAAGGACTCGGGGCGCGCTTGCCCGTAACCCCTTGTTTCCCCGCGCCCCTTCTACTTTTAAACAACCATTTCCACGGGTGGGGGCGGCTCCGGCACGGTCCTGCTGCCAGCCACTCCGGCATCGCAGCCGCCCTGAGCGGCCCGCACCGCTCTCTGCTCCCGTTCCCCGCTCCGAGTCGCTGCCCTTCCCCCTTTTTTTCTTTATTTTTTCCTCCCAGGAGTAGCAGCGAAATGCCCCGTCTTGCCCGCGTAGAGCTAGGAACGAACCTCTCCCCCGCCTTACCTCGCCCGTCACATCCCATATATAGGCATATCCACGGTCAAAAGGCGGGCGGCAGCGAATGGGAGAGCCGAGCCGCCGAAAAAAGCCGAGGGCGAGCGAAGCGAGGGAAAGGGGTAGGGACAAACGGAGGAGGGAGGGGAAAAAAAAAAAAAAAAAAAAAAAGCCCTTTCCAAAAAAGTATTGGATGTCCTGAGGAATGCAGTCAGCCCCCTGGGAAAGGCCATATCAGTGAGGCGCTCCCCGCCCGCCGCCCGCACTCCGCCGGCGCCCGTCCCGCACTCGTTGGCCCCAGCGCTCCCCGGGGCCGCGGCTCGGATTCGTATCGGGGCTCTCCCGCCGCTTTCCCTGCTCTGATTTCGGCTGTACTTCGCGCGGGACGCGCCCTAACCCACCGCCGCCATGGATGCCATCAAGAAAAAGATGCAGATGCTGAAACTGGACAAGGAGAATGCCTTGGACAGAGCCGAGCAAGCCGAAGCGGACAAGAAGGCAGCGGAGGAGAGGAGCAAGCAGGTCTGCACCGAGAGACCGGGTGTTACTGGTGCTGGGGCGCATGCCTTTCCAGGCGATCTCTTTCTTTAACCTTTTCTTAACGTGCCTTATTGTATCCTTCCCCACCTCCCCCTCCATTGCCCGAAGAAACGATTGAACTGATGAAACTCCCCTAAAGAGTTTCGCTCTGACGCCGTGTGGCTGGAGGCTCCCGGGGGCCGGACAGGAGATGTGTCCCTGCTCCATCCTGCTGGGGAGGGGTCCTGGGACAGCTGCATGGCCTCCGTGCCTTTGTCACAGGGACATGGCTGGGGGACACTGCCTCGAGCAGCTGTTAGCTCTGGACAGACATGCTATGATTTGGCAAAGGACTTAAAGCTGAGTTTGTGCCTCCTTGCCCCAGAACTATCCAGCAGACTTGTCCAGTTCTAGCTGCTCCCCCTCTTTCAGATATGTGTTCCATTTTCCTGGCCTGGTCCAAGCCACCCCTCCCCCCCCCATCCGCCCCAGCACATGTGGGGTTTTATTAGTTTGGGGGTCAGAGGGGGTCATTGGTTGTGAGTTTCTTGGAGATCCCAGAGAAGGCCAGAGGAAAGGAGAGAGATTTAAAGATGACCTTCCCCCCTTTTCAGAGCCCAGGGAGAAATGTATCTGTGCATTGTATTTCCTCTTGTGCACCTAGTTAGAGGATGACATTGTGCAATTGGAAAAGCAATTGCGCGTGACGGAGGATTCGAGGGACCAAGTGCTGGAAGAGCTGCACAAGTCTGAGGACAGCCTCCTCTCCGCAGAGGAGAATGCTGCCAAGGTATCGTGCCCTTACCGTAAGCACAGAGAATCTAACTGTCTCTCCTTCTTTCTCTCTCTCTGTCCGTCCGTTCTTTTCTGTCTCTTCTGCACTCGCACTTCTCCCTTTGCACGATCACATTGCCTGCTGCACCTTTTCCTGCCTGCCCTCCCCTCTCCACCACCTTCCGCCCGTGTCACAGCTGGAGGACGAGCTGGTGGCTCTGCAAAAGAAGCTGAAGGGCACTGAGGATGAGCTGGACAAATACTCCGAGTCCCTTAAAGATGCACAGGAAAAGTTGGAACTGGCTGACAAAAAGGCCACAGATGTAAGTTACCCCTGTCCCTTCCACCACCCCCTTCATACAAGGAACACACACCTCCACTGCACAGGACAGCCAGGACTCCCACCAGGCAGCGTTCTGCGGCTGTGCTGGGCTCAGGCTCCTGGCACCTCCTGGGCAGGGAGGTGGGAGACACAGCGCTGCCTCCTTGCATGAGATTTGCACATTGTCTGAGGCATTGATTGGGTTTCTGCTCACTCAACACGTGCTTTTTGTGTGTACTTGCTGTTGTTCCATTTGCTGTGGATTGTCAATTGAGATGATGGGAAAAATAGCTTGGGTTGGAACAGTAGTGCTGTGATAGTTGATGAGACAGAATCAAAGAGCTCACAGCAACTAGGCTTGGGAGAGGGACAGCTGGGACATCCTGTACGTCCCACAGATGCAGAATAAGGGCTGCTGGTTGTTTCTGCAGGAGAGTTGTAGGCATACATGCATTAGTGCTGCTGCTAGAAACTAGTTGGGCTCATTCAGTCATCCTACAGATAAAGTCCCTGCTCCTAGTTTTTATTCTTGGAAAAATCGGGGATGATTTCATGTCTCAAAGAAAAGTTCAGTCCTGCGTGAGAGAAAATTGGAAGATGATACTTGCTGGGTTTGCAGTTCAGAGGACAGGGATCTTGGGAGCAGGCTGGGGGATATATATAGCTCAGCACTTTATATGGTAATAGTGCAAGAGCCTGTGTCCCTCCCAGGCCTCAGCCCACCCACCTGTCCGCCCCTGACATGCATCTAATTAATGTATTACAAGCATGGAGCGATGCGAGTTTCCTGTTCCTGCAGATAAGGCCCAGAGCAGTGTGGGCTCACGCTGCCTGCAGTGTGGCTCCTACAGTCCAACCCAGTTCTCTCCAAATACATCTCGGGTCTGAATTACAGGACGTGGTGAAACCGCAAGCGCTTCCAAAGCCGTGACCGTCCTTTTCCTATAGCACAGCTTTCAGATTTGGCCTCAAAGCTAAGGAGTTGTCACAGAGCAAAGTGGAGGAAGGATACTTTTAGAAAGGGAAATGTTGCTAAAGCCAACTTGGCATCAAAGACAACACGCTTTTATCTTACTTTACTTTTAAAAAGAGCAAACCATAAAGCAAAGCAATTAAGTTGTGTAGTTTTGAGAGAGACTTCAATAATGAGCGCACGTAGGGATGAGAGAGGGGTTCTGTGTGTAATGTGGATCAGATGTCTGTCTTCTTCTGAGCGAGGCCGCACGGAGGAGAGGCACTTCCTAGCAGGGCCCTTATTGGACTCGTTCAAAGGAACCGCATACAGATCCAGGGGAGATATTCCTTATAAGGAAAAGTATGCAGACTATTTGGGAATCGCCGGGGATGAAGGCGAGAGCAGTGCTACCAGATTCCCTGCCTGAAAAGCACGATCTCCCTGACCAATCCCAGCGCTGTTTCCCTTTGCCGGAGTGCAGCCTTCGGGAGCTGGCTGGGACGGGTGTTGGGTGCAGTGAGCCTGGGGCGGAGAGCCCGGCTTGAGAGAACGCTGTACTTACTGGTGTGCGCGGAATGTCAGGATGCCGTGCGTTTGGGCCACGTGGAGTGTCTCGGGGCACTGCAGTGACCCGTGTTTGCACGACTCGTTCGGATAGTTCCGAGCCCCGGGAAAAGGGCAGAGCAGGGCAGGGAGCGCCGCTGCCGAGGTGGAGCAACCTCACACGGGACGAGGGAGCAGCACCGCCTGACTCACCTCGGCAGCGCGGGGCTCGTCCTTCCGCCCCGCGTTCAGCCCCGCTCCCCGCGTCCCGGGAGCTCGCCCGGCCGAAGGACGGCGGCCGGCCGGCCGCTCGGCATCGCTTGACGCCGCTCGGCCGGTGCGGTGCGGGGCCACGGCGGGGAGCGGGGCGGCCGCCAGAGGGCGCTACCGCCCCGCGCCCACCTGGCGGCCCGGCCCCGCCGCCGAGCCTCTCCCCGCCGGCCCCGGCCTCGCCCGGCGCCCGCCCCACCCCGGCGCGGAGCGGCGCGCTGCCCCGCCGCCTCCCAGCGCCGCTCCCCTCCCGCTCGGTGTCGCCGGCCCCGCCCCGGTGCGCGGCGCGGCGCGGAGGACTTCCGGGGCTGGGGCGGAGGGAGGGAGGCGGCGCAGGCCGGCGGCGAGGCACGGAGCGGGTCGGAGCCGATCGGACGGCGCGGGCATGGCGGCGATGAGCTCGCTCGAGGCCGTGCGGAGGAAGATCCGCAGCCTGCAGGAGCAGGCGGACGCCGCGGAGGAGCGGGCGGGCAGGCTGCAGCGGGAGGTGGACCAGGAGCGGGCCCTGCGGGAGGAGGTAGGGCCCCGGGCGTCTCAGGGCCGCGGGCAGCCGCTTCCCGGCACGGCGGTACCTGCGGGCGGCCACGGCGCGGCACGGCGGGCGCAGCTCAGCCCAGCCCAGCTCAGCCCGAGGGCCCCGCCGGGCAGCGGTGCGCGCAGCTTTGGGCAGGGTGTGCGCAGGTGTCGGCAGCGCAGATTGGTGTGGCTGTGGCTGTGGCTGTGGCTGTGGCTGTGGCTGTGGGTGCCCGATGCGGCACAAAGCCGATAGCGCTGACCTTGGGGGATGGGGGCGGCTGTAGTCTTGTTTCTTTCTGTGAAACGTAGAGCGCTCTTTGTGACCGTATCTTCGGAGTTTGCGGGAAACTCGAGCCAAATAACTCATTTGTTATTCGTGTTCTGGGCAGCGAGCTTAAAAAAGCAGTGTGTGGTGTTGGTGAGCGTTCAGAGCTGCTCGAGCAGAGGAGCGCCGTGTGTGACTGCTGACCCGCGCAGCTGTGAAGCGGACACACACGGCAGTGCACGCAGCCTTTTTAATGTTGTTTGAGTGAGAGATCGCATCGCATCGCATCGTGGGGCAGATCTGAAAGTGGGTCCCCACAGGCAGAGAACTGCTGGTGAGAGTCCAGCAGAAGGCCACGAAGATGATGGGGGCTTGGAGCATCTGCGTTGTGAGGAAAGGCTGAGAGACCTGGGGCTGTTCAGCACGGAGAAAAGGGTGAGGGGAGATCAGATCAGTGCTTAGCAGTGCCTGTTGGGTGGGAGTCAAGTGGATGGGGCTGGGCTCTTTGGTGGTGCCCAGCAACAGGATGAGGCAGTGAGCATGAACTGCAACACAGGAAGTTCCATATGAACATAAGGAAAAACTTCTTTACTGTGAGGGTGACAGAACACTGGAACAGCCCAGATTGGTGGGGGAGTCGCCTCTGGAGACATTCAAAACCTACCTGGATGTTTTCCTGTGCAGCCTACTGTAGGGAACCTGCTTTGGCAGAGGGTTGGACAGGGAGATCCACAGGGGTTCCTTCTGACCCCTACAGTTCTGCGATTTCGTGATTAACTTGTAAGGGTTTCTGTCTTAAGGAAAGCTGGATTTGTTTTCTAAACTACTTTCTGTGAGTAAAGAACGCCTTCAGCAACATATGTAGTTCTAAACTAGGTTAGCTGCTGTGTCCTTGCCATGGGAAGTGCTGATGACACCTTTGGGTGCAGAAGGCACGCTGCTGGAGGGATTCCCACTTGCCTGTGAAGTCTTACCACGAGAGCCTGGCTGTGGGGTGAGGCTTAGCATCCTTAAGGGTAGTGTCAGTCTGTTGCCTGCAGCAGGTTTACGTGGATTGTATGGAATTCTGTGCAGTATGTTTGTGTGGCATAAAGTTTTTGTTTGGAGAGGATCAGCACTTTATTGAACAAATGCAGAAAAATGAACTCATGGACACATACAGACCTATGCTTTTTCACTACTGCCAGGTTTGGTGTTTTTTTTGGTTTTTTTTTTTTACTGTCACAGCTGTATTTCTGCATGACTGAGGGAGGCTGTGAGAACATGGAGCGAGCAAGCTGAGGTGTGAACCTGACCCTTCCCTTAGTGCTGTACGTGTATGGCATGTGACTGGCTAGTGCTGTTGCTGGGTTTTTTTATTTCTTCCTGCACAAGGTACAGATATGCAAACAATGCAAAAGCTGAAACTGCAGCCAAAGCATATCACAGTTCACAACTTGTGGTTGTTAAACCAAATCAGTGAAGGTTTGGGGTCTGCGAGCAGCAGTCACTGCCTTTACAAAAAAGTCACTGTGGTTGTGTCTCAGCAGGCTGTGACTGTGTCTTGCTAATATGGTTTTCCTTCTTCAACTGTATGATTACCTGAAAAACAGTCTTACAGCAGTAGTAATTGAGAGGGAATTGTAACATACCCATGTCATCGCTCATTGTAAAAATATGTGGTGTCTGAGTGCTGTGTCAAAAATGCAGGAGGTTATGTTTGCTGTGGGAGTGCCCCTACTGTCACTGGGGTTCTTTCCTTCCTTGCCATATAAGGAAGAAGTCCTGCTCTGCGGAAGGGTGAGTGGGGCCATATAAGGTTGGTTGGTGAAACCCACAGCACATTACTGGTGGTGGAGCAGGAAGTAAAAACTCGAACTTTAGTCACCCAGTGTTTCTGAGCATATTGTGTGTGCTTATCGTGATGAGAAGTCTTGACATGATAATAATTAACTTGTGCTATTACAGATTTCCCAAGGGTAACGTTAATGAAAGGACATAGATTTCCACCACCACCCCTGCTGCTTTGTTTCTCTGAAGGTTCAAATTCTTACTGTTCAAAGCCTGAAAACTGCAGGTTTGGAATGCCATTGCTTGATTACACGGCTAGGTAAAGATTTAATTTGGGGGCTGATATGGAAGTGTAAGAATGTAGTCTCCTCCACTCCTGGCTCAATGTGCTCACTCCCAGCACCCATTAATGTTCAGATACGTGTTTTTGCTTCCCAGATGTTGGTGTTACTGCTAGCAACTCCAGTGGCAGCATTACTGCTCTCTGAGGTTGTTTTGCTTTTGTAGTGCCTAAGTTGTTCTTACTGGTGTTGGGCACAACAGAATTCTGGTAGTAGCCAGCTGTATCTGAGTACCTCAGCAGTAGTAAAATGAGCAAATATCAACAGTTCCATAAATATTTTAGTAAAGAAAAGCATCAAACTGATACTTTTGTGGGATAGATTTCCTTGCTTTTTGTTGTTTATTAATTCCCCCCTGCTGGAAATTCAGATTTGCACATCCTCACATATAGCAAGATCATTTTCAGTACTAATTCAAAGTAACTATTATTCTTGGAAGCATTAACTATTTAGATTAATAGTTGATTTATTTATATTTAATAACAGAATAATTAGGGAAAGGCTGGTGTTCTGCAACTTACAGAAGTGTAGATTTGAAAATGTTAGAAGTAAAGGCTTGTAATAAGAGGTGGAGATGTTGTGTGTGTTATTGTATAAAAGAATAAGCAGGTATGTCGTGCAGGAGAGATGGATCTGGGGGAATTCTGAGGGTGGCAGCACAGAGGGGGATGAAATGTTTTGAGCAGTTGTTGCTACCAGGACTGTTTGAAGATGTAACTTCTGCTGATACCCTGTTAGCTACTGAGTATCTTACCTATAAACAAAATTTGTGAGTGTTCAGGTGCCTAAGTGCTCTGATGCTATCCCTGTAGGAGCTGTCTCATTGCACATGCTGATCTAAGTGTGTTTTTTGCACCCCTACTTTGAGCTCATTTTATGGAACTTGAGGTAACATTATAAGTATGATCTAAATATGGCAAAAGGGCATAAGTAATTGGATTTGAGATAATATATAAGGGTTATGATAGTTTCTGCTGATTTCCAAGGAAGGAAGAAAGGATGTAACTGGTTTGTGTGCCCTAATAAGATAACATATTTAGGGAACTGTGCTAGAGCAGGACTAGAAGGACTGTGCATAAGTTGCACGTTCCTTAATCTGCTTAATAGAGAAGAACCATCGTAAAGATGTGCACATCTCTGTCTATGGACTTTTTAGTGAATGAAAACAGAAGCCATAGAAGTGCCATTAAATAGCACTAGGTACATGGGGTAATCCTCTGCAGAGGGTGATGTGTGCCTTGTTATGATCTAACTTCTGTTCTTCTGTGCTTAGGCTGAGAGTGAAGTAGCTTCCCTGAACAGACGCATCCAACTGGTTGAGGAAGAGTTGGATCGGGCTCAGGAGCGCTTGGCTACTGCCCTGCAGAAGCTGGAAGAGGCTGAGAAGGCTGCAGATGAGAGTGAAAGGTGGGTGGGGTTACTCTTGAAAGTGATTAGCTGGATTGTCTGTATGACGAAGGTGGTAATTGCTAGGGTGTGGGCTAGGGAAATAAATTAAACCACTCCTATGTCCCTCTGCATATGTCATCCACTCTGCCTTTGGACTTCAGTCACACAGTCTTCAGTCACAGCTTGTCTAGAGGGATGTCCAGAATGCACACACACAGGCTTAAATACTTGTTCATGTCTCAGCTGTAAAGATAAGATAGAGTGGGCTAGAGCTTTTGTTATATCATACTGCTTCCTGGGAAAATTGTTGGCCCCAGTCCAGGCCTCTGTATTTGAATGACATCTGACAGAGTTGATGTGTACTCATGCTGTTGGTGATTCTTAATTGCATTGTGGTTAGAAAATGTTACATGGAGAACCAGTGCTAGAAGAAGCTTTGGTTCTCCTGCTGTTAAGATTTGTACTTGAAGGTGAACCAAGGAGAGAGATCACATAAATTCCATTAGGTTTAGGCTGGAATTTCCAGACGCATTTAGGAACTTAAGATCTGATGGATTTAAAAGGTGTCTTCTACTAATGCAAATAATATTGTATATAACTTTCATAGTACTTTATATTGGGTAAGAATGCAAAGTATTCTGCATATCTGTTTCTACCTCACTGACAATAGTGAAGAGAATTTGAGACAAATCTGTGTGGAAGGAGGGGGCAATTCACTGTACTTATTATGGAGGAGTTTAAATTTTGCTTGCTCAGAACACAGAGGGCTTTAGGTCAGTGCTTTAGGACATGAGAAAACACATGGGAATTTGTTTTCTCATGAACATAATATCTGTCAGTCCTGCAGGCGTTGGAGTGTGTTATCTCACGATGAATGTTAGAAATACAGGTGTGTTCAGTTATATTATTGGGTCTTTAAAAGCAAGACCATTTATTTATCTTTCTGTAAGAACAGTTTTCCTGGAATGTAAAAGAAAAAAGGATAGTCGAGTGGTTGAGTTTCTGGGCAGAGTTGAATTGTGGCAAGAGTTAAAACAAATGAATTTTTCTTTCTTTGTAAGTCATGCTGTTTTTCCTTTCAACTTCTGAGGTGTAAATACACAGGATTAGATTGTGGGTGTGAAGAATCAAGTGCCTGATGTGCTTCATTCATTGTAATACATCTGCCAGAAAGACACACTCCAGTCAGTGGTAGAACTGAAGATTAACTGGCAAGCTCTGAACTTTTTATTTACTGGGTTGGGTTTTTGTCATGTCTTTCAGAGGAATGAAGGTCATTGAAAATAGAGCCCAGAAGGATGAAGAGAAGATGGAAATCCAAGAGATCCAGCTTAAAGAAGCTAAGCACATTGCTGAAGAGGCCGACCGCAAGTATGAAGAGGTCAGTTCTGGGGCACAGGGAACAGCCTAAAGCACTTTACCTGCACTTTGGATTCTAGGGTCAGATGGTGTTGGCTGCAATAAAATGATATCCATGATTGTTGTTTGCCTGTGCCTGTAGGTGGCTCGTAAGCTTGTGATCATTGAGGGTGACCTGGAGCGGGCTGAGGAACGTGCTGAACTATCAGAAAGGTAAGTGTGCAATTGTCCCTCAGATGCCTGTGAGGTGCTACAAGACAGAAAGTGTAACAGCATGGAAACATTGGCAGTACACTGTGTGTTCAGCTCAAGGCTGTGTTTGCTCTTCAATGGTTGAAATAAATGGTCAACACTGAAGTAAATGTGTTTGTGTGTGTGCGCGTGTGTTTTGTCACTGCATGCTGTACCTGCACACTGATTTTGTGAATGGCTTTTGTGCATTTCATGTGTTCACTAACAGCCAAGTCCGACAGCTGGAAGAACAGTTAAGAATAATGGATCAAACCTTGAAAGCATTAATGGCTGCAGAGGATAAGGTACTGATACTAATAAACAGTTTTTAGGTTTAACTGCAACCCAAGCCTTTCAGCTTCCATAGCCAGTTAGCTCACTCAGTAGCAAATAAATCCTCACTATGCTCTCTACTCCCTTGCATCTTGCTTTGGTTGTTTTCTTTGGTCTCTTTTTTGTTAATTCATTTTTTGCCTTTAAAACTGGTCTCCTGTGCAGCCAAAAAGAAGCTGAACTGTCTTATTTGTAAAAGCTTTGTAAATATTTCTGTGTGAGCCAGGGACTGTAAATAACTTACGTCTGGCCATTGTTGAAATGCACACTTAAAATGGAATTTGGCATCGTAAACAGTCGCTTTCAGTCTGTGATGGATTCAGCTGCTTTTAAGGCCGTTCTTTTGCTCTGTAGTTGTTTCATTTTTCTGTATCTTTTCCCCCCTTTTTTTCCTTCTCTTTCTTTTGCTTGACTGAATCTTCCATCCACCCCTTTCCTGCCTTCCTTCCGAAATAACAGCAAATGTGCTGAGCTTGAAGAGGAGTTGAAAACTGTGACCAACAACCTGAAGTCGCTGGAGGCTCAGGCTGAGAAGGTAGGCTAGAGACTTACACGAGAACGTGTTCCTTATGGTGTCCCCTGGATTGGCCTTTTGGTTTGTTTTGTTTTTTAATATGCTGATCACTTTTCAGCATTTCAGCAAGGCCATTTGTTAGTAGAAGCATTTGGACTTACAGTCAAATATGCATTGAGTAGTTATCAGAATCTAGCATTCCTTCTGGTTCCACATAAATTGGTATTATTTGAATACATCTTCTGTTAAGTAGCCTATAAGAGTTAAATATTATTTATATAATATGGCACTTATGTGCAAACATTTAATTTCTCCAAATACTATTCCTCTTCAAAACTGTAATGCTAAATTCTGCTCATTTTCCACTGTGTAGTGCTAGAATACAACTTCAGGGAAATTCTGCTTTTGTAATAAGTTGTGTGCAATCACAGTCTGATAAGTGGATTTAATCTAGGTAGGCCCATATTACTCCCTTTTATACAGTTGATCTATTAGAAGAGTGGCGTTTTTATATATATGTAGAATACCTGGTCTAATAGCAGTTGTTTTCTTTCTAATTACAGTACTCGCAGAAAGAAGACAAATATGAAGAGGAGATTAAAGTTCTAACTGACAAACTGAAGGAGGTAAAATTAGAGCTGTTATGTACAACAGGTCTTCCAGTACAATGTTGATTCTTTTAATATAAAAACACTTAAATTTTTTAAGGATGAACATATCCCTTTAGGGACAGTTAATTATTGGATATCTTGTAATAAGGAGCATCACCTTATTGTTTTATTTTAAATCTACTTCCTCTCATTGTTCTTTTTTTCTTCCTTTGAATTGTTGCTCCTCTATTTGTAACTAGCATGTGTGCATTTTCTACAGTTGTTTGTATTGATCTTGACTGCAGGCTGAGACCCGTGCTGAATTTGCTGAGAGGTCAGTAACCAAGCTGGAGAAGAGCATTGATGATCTAGAAGGTATGGATCTTTGTTTTCTGCGCTTACTAAAGAGATACAGGTCTGTTATTCTCCTAGTTTTATTCACTACCCAACTCCTACTGACCTAAATTGTCCAGATTACATAAATGGGTCTACTTAAAAAGTAAAAAAGGTAAAATGATTTCCCATTCAAATACATTGATAACTTAAATGTTTCTGGTGAAATGTTTTGCTCTCGCCTGTTCCTTTTTCTATGGTGTTTTCCAGACTCTTCATTTTTTTGCTTTACATGCTTCTGCTTGGAAGTATATAAATACATAGGGTAGATTATGAGATAAATAGTATCATGTTACTAAAAAGCTGGTAAAGAACTCTGTTAGTTTTCTAATAGTTAAGAATGTAGCAAGCTGACTTAATTTATTGTTCTGATAAGGGCAGGGCAGAACAACAGTTACTGGTTTTTAGTAAAGCTAATAGATTGTATACATATTGAGAAGGACACCTTATTTATATTCATAGAGTTTGTTTTAAAGTTTTGATAGATCTTTCAGAACTGCAGCTGAATGTGCTTTCTCCTTCCAGAGAAAATAATTCAGCAGTTTGGTAATTTAAGTTTATATGGAGCTTACTACCTCGATGTGTTCTGTCAAGTCTATGATTTTATGTAGTTTGATTACTTGGCATGGCAGGCTTACACATAAAGAGTATGAAGTATAGCTAGGTAAGAGGTGGAAAATGAATAGTTACTGTTTCAGGAAGCAGAGAAGAAAGCTAAGTACTTAAAACAGTTAGCATCCTCCTTGAGCCCTGTTTTCAGCTCTCCTATCCACGGTACTGACTTTTGCAGTTCCCGTGTGCCTTTCTAGTGAGCATTAAAACAAATTTCCAGGACAAGGAAACAGATTTTCCTTCCCTTCTATGCTTTGTTTTACCTAAATCACAGTTTGCCCCACTGGCAGTGCTGTTAATGAACTTATCACTGAAAACTGTTTGCCGTTGTTTTTCATTCTTCCCTAATTTTGTATTTTGATGCTGTTTTTTTGTTGTCCTGTCTGCCTCAACACTTCTTTCTGTGCGTTCCTACCTTTCCTGCTGCTTTTGGATGGTATCCCACACCACTGCCCTCTCATTCCATCCCATGATCACACTCCCATTTCCTTGTGCACCTCTACCTTCCCTTGGGGACTGTTAGATGAGCTTTATGCTCAGAAACTGAAGTACAAAGCCATCAGCGAGGAGCTGGACCATGCTCTCAACGATATGACTTCCATGTAAATGTCTTTCCAGCCTGTGCCTGCTTCCCTGCCTCATTGACTGTGTGGTTCTGGCTTTGTGAAATTATACTCCCTTGTAGTGGGAGCTGCATTACTTTAGTGAGATTAGATGTACAAAATACCATGAACCATGTATTTACTGTGGCTGATTGTGGGTGTGTGTCGTGCCAAGCCTGGTAAATACTCATGGTGATTTTGTAAGCTAATCGATGAGCTCATGTGTGTTTTATCAGTGTGCATCAGTGATCCTTATATCCTCTGGTTGCCATTTGTTTGTAGCTCTGCATTTATCCTTCTGGTTGACCTCTGTTCAAGTATTTTTTTACCATCATTTTGAATTTGCCGGTAGTTATTATCTCAGCACATGCTGCATTCAGAGGGTGTTCTTCTCCCTTCACAGTTTTATTCTGCCAAAGCTCTTACAAAAGTTTCAGAGGGACTTAGAATTAGCTCTGTTAATAATAGTAGATTACGTTGATCTTAAATTTCCTGAACTGCTTGAATTGAATTCCAGTGCAGTTGAATTTTCAACTGCTACCACTAAATTACAAGAGTGGAAGGCAAAGACATTTTGTGATTTAGACCCAGGAAGGTGACAAGTGAAGTGCTGGTTGTTCACATGTACCTTGTGGAGGGCAATAGGAATTAATTAGTAAATCCCAGAGGTGTGGTAATACCAGCTTTAGCTAGGAGAGAGAGAGGGTTTGGGGTGGGGAAAAAAAACCAGAAAGTGGTCATTTGTAAGGAGTGTGAGTAATCCACGTGGTGTTTGATATATACCATCTTTTCCCACACTGACATAAAACTCTGAACAGCGGTCAGCTATGCTAAATCCCTCTTCCCATGCTCATCCCTTTCATTTGCATGAACCCCTGGCATGGGAAAGAAGAGATGTGGCTTTCTCAAGTGCCTGTGAGGTGTGACGTTCAGTTCCAGTGTTTCTTTTGGAAGCTGGCACTTTCAGCAGTACTGCAGCTTTGCTCAGAGCTAAAAATGTGTTTTGCATGCATCCATATTTTAACTATTTTTTCCTTTTTTTTTCCTTTTTAATCCCTACATTTCTTCATTACTCCCCTCCCACTCTTCAGCAACTTTTTATGCACCAACACATCTGCATTTGCTCAATAGCTTTTTGAACAAATGGGTTTTTTTTCCTTCCTTTGTAACAGAGGTTACAACTTGTTTTTGGTGGTTTTGTTTTGTTTTGTTTTTCATTTGGGATATTTGCAGATGGAAAACAGGCTTTAAAACATAGTCCTCCTCTGGTACATGAGGAAATTGCTATAGCATTCCAATCCCAGCATGGTGTGGCATTTCACTAGTAGTCATCCTGGCATGCTGGATTCTGCTGTGCTGTTATTGCTTTTTTTTGGACTTCTTACTGCACTTTTTTTTATTTCCTACCTTATCTCACTTTTTCTTTTTGTGCAGATAATTTTCTTTGCTTCACTTCTCCAAAGACATCTTCATCGGGTTGGATAAAACATCTTTCCAAGCTTTTGGATGTTTCATGGTTCACTGTCCTGTCTTCTAGCTTACTTGGCTCTATCTTTCTAGCACCTGTTTCAGAATATGCTCTTTGTGCTCTATTGTACAGAAACTCTACATCTCTAAATGTAAAATAAACATCCCAGCTGTATTCCTTTGGCTATCCCCTTGCCTTTTATTTATTCAAATAGCTATTTTAGTTATTAATAAAAAAATAAAAAGTTGTGTGGGTTTTTTTTGGCCATCAGAGATTTCATTTTTGTTCATGTTTCACTTTTTTTTTCCCCACAAATGCTTTTGCCTTAATGTTGACAATATAAAGGCAGTGCTAGCTGTCTGTGGGGTGAGAATGCCCATTCTTGGTATTTGGGGTTAATGCTGACCCGTTGTGCTCTCTCCCTTTCTCAAACGATGATGCAGTTAAAATGACAAATATAGTGGGAATTTTTTCAGTTGTTATTGTTGGGCCAACATCTGCAGAGACACTGCTGCCGTGGGGTCACTTGGTCGTGGGAGCATGTCTCAGAGAGCACATAAGCCCTTGACTTTTCTCTTTACGTTTTCTCCTAGCTTGATGATTCAGATTTTCTGCTTTTGTGTAAATGTATTTGTTCAGTAAGTTAAATCAAAGATTTAAAGGGGCAATATCAAAAGCATCAGAATGCTCTGCAAAAAGAAGTGTTCCCTCTTTCACACCTTGATTCCTCTGCAAAGATTTCGCTTGCTTGCTTTTTTTTTTTCGTTATGCTTCTCTTGTGTGAAAGGGTGTGATCTAAAGTTGAGCAGAGACTTCTGTAGCTTCCCACTCTTGTGCTTAGCTTAGATTTATGAGCTTAGACTTCTCATTTATGAAAAATGTTTCAGAATTGGAGTAGGAAACTTTTCATGATTAATGTAATAATTGGATGGATCTCTGCAGTGTCAAACGCTGATTTCAGATTTGAAAGCTCAGACATTTGATCACTCATCACTTATCAGCTCAGCCAGTGTATGTTACACTACAGCAAGCACAGCCTCTGATTCTGTAGTTTGTTTTACCATGTCCGTAGTGGTTTTTTTCCTCAACTCCTTGTAATCCTCCTAAGAAGTAAGCAAAGTAAAATCCAGGGTAGAAGCCTAGTAATAATAAAAAAGGTGGAAAGTTCATGATTGTTCTTAATACTTAATTTAAATCTTCCCACCAAACGTACACAATCAGCTGTCTTCATTGTGGGAGTGATGGATTGCTGGACAGAGTATTAGAAACAGGCAATACAGTGCATTTATCCAGATAGCTGCACACACAATTCACAACAGGCCCATCTGCACTGGATGTTGACTGTTCTGGTTTTTCAGTGTTTCAGCACCCTGTCACCATTGGAGCTGACATGTGCATTACTTCATACATCCTGCGAGGGCTGGCTGTGTGTAGCAAGTAGTGTGTGAGTCTTGCTGACACAAGTGCAGGGTTGGCTCTGGCACTTCGTTTGCCTGACTGCATGGTGTACAGGGATAGTTCTGCTGAGACTGAGCTCCAGGGGATCTATGCCAGTTGTCAAACACCCCACTCTGCCTGAGGTGGCTCCATGCAGAGACCTTTGGCTCTTCCTCCAAGTAAGGTAGTTGTGGCCTGGCCACAGGTGTGTGAGTAGTCAAGAGCTTACAGTACACTCAGAAAATGCTTCCCACACTTGATCTGAGATTTTTAGTCTCATTTTGGATGTTGAGAAATACTGGAAGTCTCTGCCTCACATCAAGAGAGTAATTCTCTGTGATGAAGGTAAGCATTAAGTTCGTGATTGAAATTCTGTTGTCATGTTTAAATAACAACTAAATACATTGTGCCAAACAAAATGGCGTGTAAGTTACTTATGAGGTCTTTGCTTTTTTTTACATGTATGTCTTAGTGTCTAATGTTATCCTCATAAGAGAGACAGAAATCCAGGTGTCCAAGAATAGGAATGTGAACCGTGCCCTGCTCCCACTGAGCTGGCTGTGGGGAGAACTGAGATGTTGTCACTGGGTGCAGGCAGGCTCTGCAGAGCAGCTCACTGTGCATGCTGTGCTGTAGCTGTGAGCTGCTGTGACCAGACTCTGGGGAAGAGGATTTCTGTGAAAGCTGCTAGGCAGCTTGTGGAAAAGAACCAGTTATTTCCTGTAGCAGAATAATCTAGGATCAAGAAGTTAGAAGTTTGAATCTAAACTGTTGACATTGATACAGATAATTTGAGGAAAAATAGTCAGAACTTATCACAAAGCTTGCTTTCATTCTGCAGAATGCTAACTAAAATTCACTGTCACAACATTACTGTGGGTGTTCTTTCTGTCTATAAAAGTGAACCATCCTGTTCATTTTCACTGAGTGTTTTGGAGTTGATTTTTTATGAGGTACCACTTGACAGTTTAAAGATACTGAAGTGTGTTTATACCAATAATAACTGTATGTTTTGCTACCAGAAGTAACATTTCAGTTGTTAAATTCCACAGTAGAAGTATAATGAGAACGAAACCTAAGGGCAGTTCATGCTATCAGCATCTCTCCTGCCATTAGTTAGATTGGTTATAGTTGCTTTCTGCCAGCTGTCAGATGAGGTTCCACCACATATTGAATTATTCACAAAGAAAATTGGCACTCATAAAACCAATCTGCCATGCATTGTAGAAATTAAAGGAGGACATGGTTCTTCTAGGAATGTAGCCGTAGCTCTTCTATTCACACTTGCTTGTTGCACAGCTGTTCTCTATAGAGGAGAGGTAGCCAGCCCATTGCCAGCTGCAATAGCCATTCCTTGGAGTGGCTATTTAATTACTAGGATTCTAGAAACAAAGGTAAAATGTTTCTGTTACTGATCTGTCTGTGGTGTGACCGGTTTCTTTATTAACTTATCTGTTTTCTCTGTCTAATCTGTCTTCATTCTGCCTCTTTTTTCCTTCTAACCTGCTTGCTGCCTGTACAGACCAACTCTACCAGCAACTTGAGCAAAACAGTCGCCTAACTAATGAACTAAAGCTGGCATTGAATGAGGATTAAACTGTAGTGTGACTATGTTGTTAACTTACTTTAAAACTGCTTCTTCCGAAAGTTCCTTGAGAATGAATCAGTAAACGTAGAAATGAGCAAGAAACATAGAAACTGACTTTTCAGGCCGTTGATTACATGGTATATTAATGGATTAAATTCTAATTTTGTTTTGGAAAAATACACTGTTCCTTCTGATGAGGCTTTTGTTTATTTGTATGCACACCTACCTTAGAGGAGCAGTTTGCTCTTAATGTGACTGGGCAGTAATAACTTATTTCTACTTCAGTAAAAGCTCAGAGGACTTAACGAGCAGTATTAAAAAAATAAGAGCCTTTCTTGTGCAGAGACCCACCTTTTTGTTGGTGTCAGAATTGTCCCTGAGAGCTTTACTGGAAAGTGGGTGAGAGGAAAGTGTTCAGGATTCCAATTCCAAAAACAACACAAAATTTAGTTACAGCTGTTTTGCTATCTGGACACTTCAGTGCATTAATTTTGGATTACTATGGATTGGGTAAAAACAAAAGCCATTGATCAAAAGAGTGGAAAAAAACCAAAACACAAAAAACACCAAAAAAACATGCTAGGAATGTGAGCTCCACCTGAAAATACCTGGTCAGTTGTTTAAAGGTATGCCTGCATTAGTGTGAAGTCACTGTTACTGGATTCTGGTAGGATGCAGTTCTATAGCATTGTGCTTATTTATTGTATCATGTAAGTGTGTTGAATGATAGTCCTATAAAAATGTGCATGCAACATAAAGCTACTAACTTCTTTTATTTTTTTAAGCTGTAGAAGAAATACATTTATTAAAAATCACTTGACTCGAAGATTGGTTTTAATTTCTTGTTTGTTCTTTCGAAGTTCTGAATTACATTGAATTTAAAGTATGGATCTCCAAAGAACCTAATTATTTTCTTCTTGCCCTACTTAGAAACAAAGCAAAAGCCTAAAAACAAACAAAACCCCACCTCCATTCCTTGTCCTGCATTCTTGCATCAAAGAGCTTCCAGAACATACAAGAATCTCATCTGTTTGCAGTGCATTTTCTTAACAGACGCACCTGCAAACAGTTCTGAAGTTGTATTGCTTGCTGTTTGTTTTCTTAATTTGAAATTCTTTCTAGATGTATTCTCTGAGGGTATCAGTATTTATGATCATGCATATTTCTCACCTTCTGAGCCTTTAATTAGAAATGATCACTGCATGCCTTCATGTTCTGAGAATCAGTGCCTCTGAAGAACTGCTATTCATGTTTTGATTTTCTGATCCCACAACAGAGAAAGTGGCGCATGCCAAAGAAGAAAACCTTAATATGCATCAGATGCTGGATCAAACTTTACTGGAGTTAAACAACATGTGAAAACCTTCTTAGCAGCAACCACATTGTTATTATTTTTACACCTGCTTGCCGTGAAGCCCCATAAACATGTCTTTATTTTAGTTTCACCACAGTCACAATTATCAGGCAGGGGTCAGGGAAACACCAAAAAGGGCAAGCTGTATGCGGGTTAAGCTACTTCATTATGGTTTAAATGTGCCATTTCCCAACAAAATGTTACCTACACTTTGTAGAGAGTGCAGTGATTGGAATGCTTAGTCTTTGGGAGAATCCTGGCTGTGTCAGATAGCGTCCCACCTCAAGTGCCAACCACAGTTTTTAACAAGAATGATGCATCTTCAAAAAAGATCCAGTGTAAAGGGTGCTATTTGGATCAAAAAGCTCTACTAGGGGCTTTTATTTGATACCTGACGAGTCAGGATTTGTTGAGCACAGTAATTTATTTTTATCAGCATTTTACTGATCTGTGAGGATTTGGACTTCGTGCCTTCTATTTCAGTAGAACGAAGGATATGTAGACAACATAGTAAAACAAAGGCTTATGAAGGTTTTAAATTGTAAACTTGCAACTCGTTACATAAGTGTAGGTCAACATTTCAGCTTGAGTATTCCTTCAATTGTATTTTTCATGTTCAAATGAAAGATTCAATAAATTCAGGAGAAAACACAAATTTGGAAGAGATTGTTTAAAATGTATTTTATTTGTGTGGAGCTTGGGGAGGGGGTGGAACTTACAAATCGATATTCGCCTCACTTTATTTTTCACACTTTTTCTTTTGAGCAGTTTTAAAAGTATACCTGTATGTAAACATTGTATAATGATATGGAATAAAATGCACATTTTAGGACATTTTTTAAATTTTACTCTCCTGTGATTTTTCATCATGCTTATGTTTATTGTTGTGTAAAATGTGTATATTGGCACTGGCTCATTGGGGTACTCTGTTACCATGTTGGTTTTCAGTCTCTCATTTGCTATTAAGCTAATATATAAAAAATGCAGTGAAATGCTGTGGTTTGGACTTGCATGGATCAGCAGCTGCTTAGAGGGGACATACTGTGAGTATCTATCCCCATCACTTGATTGTTTCCAAATGGGTGCAGGCAGTGACCATCACTCAAGGGAAGACAAACGTTTCAGAAATGCATTGTTCACTCAAACTGCTTTCAGTAAAAGCATTGCATGTCTTTCATAATAATTTTCATCCCTTTTTTTTTCTTTAGTACATCACTGAAAGCTGATGCTGTGCATCCTTGTAGCAGTAAGGAGCTTGGTAGGAGACAGTTATAGATAGCCCTCCAGATCATCAGAGGAACTGAAATGAAGTGACTCAGCAGCTTGTGTAGCAGTGAAAGGGTAAAGGGGAGTCATAGGGAGGTGGGTTTTGGTGGGGGTGGAGGAAGGGTTGTTTGTTTTTTTGTTTGTTCTTTATTTTGGAATGAAAGGCAGAAGTTTGCAGCATTGCAAGCCACTGCGTGATTCATTAGTGCTGCAAAATCAGCCTGAATGGAAAAGAGATCTGAATGGAAAAGAGATGCGTGGCTTCACATTCCCATGTAAGTGCCTTTGAGAGGCAAAATAAGTGTTAAAAAGCTGCGGTAGTGCCTTAAGCTTCTGTTGGAGCCTGACAGCCTAAATCTCCAAACAACAGATTTGCAGTGGTAAGTTATACTAATCTCATTCTTGTTTCTTAGAGCAAGGATAAAATGATGGATAATTGGGTTCTGAGAGCTCAAGCTCCCAGCTTTGAGTGGCACTGCTGGAGTCAGTAGGGCTGTTTGCAGCAGGAAATGCTACGCTAAGTAGGTAGTTTGCAGGGCTGTGCCTGAGGCTGTTCTGGGAGCTGAACAGAGGAGTTCCTGGCTCCTGGCTATGAGTCTTGTATGATTAAATGTGCTGCCTGCTCCACTAAATTGTGTTTATGATCCCAGGATCTGTGCTTGGGTCCTACATGATGTGCCTGAGTGAGTTCAGACCATTTGTTCACTGCTTTAATTTTTTTGTTTTCTTGGAGAACACAAACTGCTCTGTGGTTTGGAAATGTGAATTCATCTCCTGTTCTGTGTAACACGAAGGAGAAAGCTATGGGTTCAGCGTCTCTTAGTGTGATCACCTCCCGTTAGAAGGGCAAGTGTGTGCATATAAGGGGATGAGAATTAATCTGAAAAAAATAAATCTCTTTTTAGAATAGATTCCCCCAAAACGTACTGCTGCAGCTAATGCCATAAAGCTTTGTAGTAGGCAAATAAAAGCTTTCTGGCTCCAAGGGAAGCTGAGGGAGCTGTGGAGAGTGAAACAGTGTGGCCTTTTTGGCTGGCTGATTGCCAACAGACATAAATGTGTGTGTGTATGTATGTTTTTATGTATTTGCTGGAGCATGAAAACCTGTTTCTGGCATATATCATAAGCCTCTAGACATTGCAGATTCTTTGCCTGCAGTGCCTAATCACACACAACTCGTGAAGCTGGAATGTGCTGGCCTGTAAAATAAACAAGTTTGTCTTTGATTTAACTCTGTTACAAACAAATGGAAATTTCTTGCTCTTGCAGCTTTTTTTGTCAGAAATGCTAACTATAAAATGCATTAAATGGCAAAACTATGCCTCATTCAGCGTTCCCCAAGGTAAGGATCTTGATTTGGAGTGTTACTCTCTCTTTCTTCCATAAAGAAAGACATTTAGCAGGCTGAAACGTAGTGTTGTGCAGCCATGCTGTGATCTTGGAAGGTTTGTGAGCTGCCTTCTTTCAGTGAAGTGAGCAGTACTGAGGGCATGGAACTGGCACAACTTGCCTCTTTGCAGTTTCCTGTCTTGTGGTTGGCTTTAAACATGCAGTGAAGGTTTTTTCCAGATGTTGAGGCATTTGTGTTGTCTTTTGCTGCCCTTCTGGCATTTCTCTGCTATCTAGGAATGTGTAAGGTGATCTCTCTGCCTTTCCTCATACCAGGATGCTCATGGCATGCTCCTTCTATCTTACTGGCTCCCTACATTCACAAAACTTGCAGAAATAGTTTTCCTTCTGGAGTTCTCTATGGCCAAAACTATTCAGCAAGTTTAAAAGTTGTTCGATGTGAAGAGAGCCAGAGATAAGAGTGATATTTAAGCCCTTTTCTTCAAGAAATGAGGTTGAAACAGTGGCCTGCTCCCGTGGAGCACTGCCTGTCAGAGCTTCAGCTCCTGAGGGAGAAATCTGACTGTAAAATCTATCGTGCACACTGCTCAAAGTCAATTAAGTTGGTAAACTTCACTCAGTATTGTTGAGAGTATCTATTACACTGGACTGTTTGACTACTGCAATGTCTTAATATTGCCAGCAAAAAAAAAGGAAAAAAGAAGGGAAAAAAAAAGTAATTAGCTAACTAAGAAGCTAAAAAAAGTTGAAATTGTAAGTTTTTTAAGGCTGGGACTTTATTATCAGTTACTTTAGCAAGGAAATCATGATACCTTAAAAAAAGGAAAAAAAAGAAACAAACTAAAACACAAATAAAGCTGCACTCCCATTAATTGCTACTTTTCAGCATTTAACAAACTTGTAGCAAATTTGCATGTGCTTTTATTAGCTGCACACACAGTCATGTCTGAGTGCAGGGCATTTCCTGGAGATTAGCAGCTGGGTGGGTTTGTAGGCACAAGAGGAAGCCTAAGGGACCAAAACTGGTTCATCCTTGGGAAGTGCTTTGTGCTGGAATTGTTATTGTCAGTGTACAACAATACAAAACACATTGGCCTGTGTCTCAGGAGGAGGAGGAGCAAACACTGCTATTTGGAGTAATTAAGCTGCCAGATTCCCCCTCTGCTTCCATATCAGTGTATCAACTGCAGGCATTAGCAACACTGCAGCTTGCAAAAGGACTGCTTGGAAGGATTGTGAATCCATTATTCTTGCCAATTATTTGTTATTTACAATTTTGATTGATTGAATTAAGAAGCGGTCTATAAAATCTAAGTTTATAGCAAGTGCAGGTAGTTAATATAGGGATTTCTGCAATTGTAGCTAAGTTGTTTCTTAGCAGTTCATTTTACTGAAGTGGATAAATGCATATAGAACTGTGGCTATATCTAGTGTGCATACAGCCAAGACCTGCCAGTTTGGCTAAACCTCAGTCAGGCAGTCGCATCAGAGCAGGCTCAGTGTTTTAGCATTGAACTTTATGGAGTCATTACAAAATAAGTTGTTCTCTCTTGAGTCAAAGCTGCTGGGTCTTTAGATGCTATTGTGTTTGGTAGGTGGGTTTAAAAAATAAACAGCTGTCCCCAGCCACAACTGTAATGCTGTACTTCAGTTTCTAAAGAAAAAGACTGATGTTCAAAGGTGAAGAGCATGCAGCAGTTCGTGTTGATCTCAGCAGAACACCTGCATGCTGAATTAAAGGCTGGAGATTTCAGAATCCCTATTTAAAATACAGTAAAAGCAGAAAGCTCTAACATCTGTTTTCCCAGATCCTCTTTTCCTTTTGCCTGTTTTGCCTTTAAGGCAATAGTGAAGAAATTACACTCCCTACTTTAGCGTGAACAGTAAAAAATGTGTTACTTTGCTTTGGTTATTCATATATTTTTGAGGGTGGGAATTTTTCTTAGTTTCTGTTTTATTTTCCTGTTTGAGAATTTTACAAGAGCACCACCTGTCCATATATGAAATGAATTTTGCTCACACCTGTTGTTTAAATTTGACAGGTGCCAAGTCATGTAGGAGCTTGTTAGCTTTCATTACACCACTTGGAAGAAATGTTGTCATCACTTAAGTGGAGCAGTTTTCCCTTCAGCCTTTGCACACCTTGAGCTTGATTCTTTTCTGAAGCCTTCATCAGTACCTCGATAACCTTCCCACTACAAGATTGTTGTTACTTGAGGCAATGGGATAAAAAGGAATTCAAACTGAAAGGCAGACATAAATGTGAGTGTGCAAGTAGTAAACCTGGTTTTCATTTCATT